AGATGATATGGGATCTACGATGTAGCTGTTAAAAACAATGATCTTTTTTTCAGTAAATATACAACCTATGAATATTATATTTCTGACAATAGATCCTCCTAAATGGTACACACTTTAAAGATAAACTGGGTGCTGTAAATAGCCAGAGCTATGTTGTGTTGCACTTATGGTGAAACAGCTGTTTCACAAAACAAAGTTGTGATGCATCTATGGTGTTTCACCTTTGGTGCCCTTTTTTTTTTTGGCCCCTGCCCCTCAACTAGCAAGAGTCTGCCACTGGCAAGGACTCTTTGCTCTTACTGTTAGAGAATACAGTCAGGACAATCATCACAGAAACTCTTCTTAACAAAAAATGTAATTTGCAGAGAGTGTAAAAGACTTGTAAATGAAGGAAAGAAAAAGCACTTTTTTATCATCTTCCACCTCTGTGGATTTAAGAAGTCCATTAATCAAGCTACGACATTTACTTTGTTCTCATTAAACATTAACAGAAATAAACTCATTCTTTTTGTACTGCTGGTGATCCCTAAAGGTCATTGTTTAAGACTCTGGTGGGTGTGAAGGAGCTCTCAGTATTGGAACACACTTTAATGAAAAATGTTTCATGTACAGCAGTTCTTAGAGTGGGGTTAAAATAACAGCTCTTTCCACTCTGTGGGATAGACATTGATTTCCACTACATGCAGGTGTTACTCACAATTTAGAAAAGTCACTATGTATGGAATAATATGGTGTGCAGTGGAGTATAACAGAAGGCTACATGGGAAATTAAGGCGGTTATTCATATTGATTATAGTGAAGCTCAAGGAGCGTGGGAACTGAGATGTGGCACGTTTGTTGTTGTGACTACGACAACACCAGTGTTTCCATAGCATCTCAGAATAATCCTGTAATATTCTGACAATGTACACCATACACAACCTGACCTCCACTTCAAAAATCACAAAACTACAAGAAATGTAGAGGGAATGTAAAAATAGGGCTACAAGTGTGTGGCCATCCATCTGTATATTTAGGTTTTTTTTGTTATTTTTTTGCAAATTGGAAATATGACAAAAGCCATTTCCTAATGGAAATTTCAGTCTGGCCACTGTAGATTAGAAGGTAATTTCAAGAAGGACTACAACATTCACTACGGACATTTAGGAAGATCTCTTGGCAGAAATGGAATATAATAATCATATTTTATTGTACACTCAAAAAAATTAACGTGGCGAGTTGTGAAATTCTATTTATGTTAATGATTTATTTTCACTTTATTTAAAATACATGTATTTGTTAAGTTAAAATATTATTTTCTAATAGTCCAAAGTCCATATAATTATGTCTCTCATTATCTGTACAAAATATTAATGTGTTGTTTAATCACAAAAAAATTAAGTTAGGATTGAATATTGCTAACATCCAGAAGGTGGCAGTAATGCAACGCCAGATTTGCTTTGCCACTTAACGTCGGTAGATGCTAAATGGACCTGTACTTGTATAGCGCCTTTCTAGTCTTCCGACCACTCAAAGCACTTTAACACTACGTGCCACATTCACGCAAAGCCATCAAACAGAAACTAACTCATTCATACACATTCACACACCAATGCACAGCAGGGAGCAATTTGTGGTTCAGTATCTTGGGGATCGAACCACAACCTTCCAATCAGGGAACGACCCGCTCTGCCTCTGCACCACAGCCGCCCCACTGATGGATGGATCTTGGACATTGTAGCTAGCTAACTTTTATCCCGCCAGTCAGAGAACACTATCACCGTAAAACTAGACCAGTCGGGATGTAACTAACGTTATATAACTTTATATTCAGTCTATGGACATTTAGTTATGTTACTCTCTTCAGGTGATGCTGTTTACTGGCAGTTCAACAAGTCTGCACTGTGTTGGTGACCACAGAGAAATCTCTGTTTTTATATGTCTGTGTTTAGTTTAACGTTACTTTGAGATATCAGGCTTATTTTACAGGAAGGTAACCGATTCCTGTCTGTCGTTTCAGAGCTATTAAAGGTACTGCTATACAACCCATCATCTTCCTGCTGCT